AACGTTATACTAACTTACAATTTAAACATTTAAACTATAAACAGAGTACATATCACAGGATAAGTTAAATCACCCCCCCCCCTTTTTAACATCAAAGTGAATTTCCCATTCCCTTCTCCACCCACCTTCTTTCTTGGTCCGGACAGATTTAGCAACAATGGCAGGACTTCCTACTAGCCCCTCAAAATCACCCCCCTGAGCACATAGTTTACCACTCCCCAAACACTACCTAGAAGGTTACTATAGATCACGGCTATTTGTTGGTTTTTCATGATAAATATCTCCATCACTAATGAACTCCTCCTCAGTGACTTAAATCCTGAGACTGGATTAGAAGTTGAACTTCTCTAGAAGCAAGTCTCAGGGAGCCGAGCTTCAATCCCACACCTCTCTCCCCTCTGCAACAGGTGCCCCAAGGATTCCTAAGGCCTCAGCTCAGCGACCTACCTTGATGGTCTTCACCAGGTTGGCGGTGCTGTTGGCGACTTCCTTGGCTGACTGGACAAAGTGCCTCTTGGCCACGGGGTTGCCCGTCTTGGACGAGGCGATGCGGCAGGCATTGCACAAGGCTGAGGTGTGCTTGGCGACAATCGTGGCAGCTGACAGAACCTAGAAAGCATGGACCGGGCTGGGGACACCCTATGCTTTCAGTGCAGAGGGGCCCAGTTCAGAGGAAGCCATTCTGGTCTCAAGCTCTGGACTGTCCTTCAACTCACATGTCCAGGGCTTGGGTGAATAAAACCTTTGTCTCCAGCTCTGTCACCCCCGAAGTCACTCCAAGAAAGGAGAGGGAGAGAATCAGGAAGCCAGAAAGAATAAGCAAAGAAAAAGAAAGGAGGTGCTGATGTGGTGGTGGGAGGGGGCTGGGCTCAGGTAGTCTCAAAGGAGCTGCAGTCAGCTACGCTTTGGAACCCGAGGCCAGGAGGCATGTGGCCCTGGGTCCGGGCCAGCGCCACCCACCAGAAACACCATGCAAACCACATGTCTAATTTTAAACTTTCTAGCAGCCACATTAAAATAAGTACAGAAACAAGAGAAATTATTTTAAATGATACATTTTATTTAACTTGATATATCCAAAATACTTTATTTCATCATGTAACCAATTTTAGAATATAATGATTTTACAGTCTTTTCTTATCATACCAAGTCTCTGAAATCCAGGCTGTATTTTACATTAAGAGCTGATAGTTTGGACTAGCTACATGTCTAGTGCTTAGCAGCCATGTGCAGCTAGTGGCCAGCGCACCGGAGAATCCAGGTCTAGATGAGCGAGACAAACACTGAGGTGTGACAGTGCCTTCTTCACCCACAGGTGGGTATAGGCACCTTATTAAGGGGTCTGGCTCAGGAATCTCCCAGTCTCCACCCACAAAGCACTTTTCTGAATCCACGTGATCCACTTTGCTGAGGCTGGTAACACCCCATGGTTACCAGCGAGCCTTAAGTGGACAGGTAAGGAATCCCAGGAGCACTGACGCCTGTCTTAGGTCCAGATGGCCCCTGTGCTACCTCCTCTACTTGGGTCCTTCTCCTGCCCCAAGAATGCTGGTCCCAGGGTCAACGGTGGACGTGCCACTCACGGGCTGCCTCTGCTAGCCCATGCAGGCCATTCTTGTTTCCTTCAGCACACACCGCTTTAGTAATTGAACAGAATCCATGCCACTTGGGTATTAGACGTGTCATGGAAACCCACACATAACAGTCTAGCTCTCAAATGTCTCTGTGGCTCCTTCTGTGCTGTGGATTCTGACCCAGCTCTGGGGCCTCACTCAGTGCCACCATCTCTGGGAAGGGACCTCAATAGCCCCTTGAGACTTCATCACACCTCCTTCTGTGCATCCCTGGCATTGTCGTCATACCCTGATCACTCCACCTTTGAAACTTTATCCAACAGTAAGAGCCAAGGGGGTAGGGGATCGGGGCTTACTCATGTTGACCCTCAGCGCTGAGCACAGGACAAGCCCTCAGCCTAGGTCCCCTGAACTGAATGAACGGCATTGTGAGACTCCTGATGACCCTCGCGGTGATTACGCCACTCCTCCTGCCTTCCAGCACTCCATTCCACAGCACCTACCTGTTTCTACTTTTACCACATTTTGCAATATCCCCCAAAGTCATTATCTGCAGCACTGCATTGAACTGGCTTTGCAAGCTCCGAAAGAACAGCGTTCTTTACTCATTTCTCCCCAACCCATCTGCAAGAGCTTAAAGACACACAGATCTCACATGCTCGCCCCACGGTTACCTGTGACGGGCTGCTGCCGGGGTCCACCAGGTTCTGGCATGCCATCTGGATAGCCTGGTTAGCCCTGGCAAACTGGATGGGGTCCACGAGGCCCTGGTGGCCCGCCTGGCTGTTTGGATCAGAGATGCCAACGAGGTATGCAGCCTGAAAGGGAGGAGGTAAACCACGGCTCAGGCTCTCTGCGCTCCTAGAAAAGCCTGTGAGAGACCAGGGTCCCACAGCACACACGCAGCAGTCATTCTCAGGTGCTCCCAGTGCAAGGTGGTCAGAGTCAGCTCATCAGTAAGGGTTTAAGGATGGACAGGCTGACCCCAGCCTGGGCCAGGGACATGCCAGCAGGAGCCTGTTACAGGCTTTTGGGAATGAAATCTCCTTGCTCTTAAGAAAGCCTCAAGAAGCTCTTTCATAGGGCATGACCAATAATGGATGCAGCCGTGAGTGCTCTGGCAGCCACCTTGTGACCATGAAGGGGCCCGGCCTCAGCAGGAAGCTCAATCTTTGGCTGGCATTTGGGAGAGGGAAAAGAAGTGGGTGTAGACTGATGGCGTGGAGCTGCTGCATCTGCTTAACCTTGGAGCCTGACCTACATGAGGGTTTCTCATCTCGTAGCCTAATATTTCCTTACTATTTAGGCCGGTATTTCCAATAGTAAGAAAGAATGAGTTAGATGGTGCAGTGGGAAGAAAAGCAGTGTTTGATCTCCAAGAGGACCAAGGGCTATAAGAGGTCTTCCCTTCAGACCCTTTGGATGTGTTAGGCAAGTAATGGGGAGAAAATGAATCTGTGGGGACAGATTTTAACCTTAACTCATCTCCCCTGAGATGTGAGAGGCAGGGAAAGGGAAGATGATTTCATCCCCCAAACTAGAGATCTTTTTCTTTGGTTCAGTAAAATCGTCTAGGCTCAAGGTAATTGTCAAATGCTAAATCCTTCAAGGTAAATGCTGACATTTTTGAAAGTTCAGGAGCCCAGTAATTATTGGAAATGCACAGGACAGTCAGAGGCGAGCCAGGAACATGCCTGATCGTATCTCTGCGCGATGGCATTTACTTTTTTCTCCCTCTGATCCTAAAAAAAGCATGACTAAGAGTTTTGCAACTCTAAAGCCTCAGAGAAAATTTCAGTTATGTAATACCTATTTTTCCCCTAAACAACTTATCTGTTAACAATGACCTTAAAAGAAAAAAAAAAAAAGCTGGCCTGTGAACCCTACGCTGGGTCTGCAGTGTTCAGTGTCCTTCCAGGTCCCTGGAGGTAACAGGCTGACTTTTGTCTTGATGCCCAGCCAGCACAAGAGCCATGGGCTTCTCCGTGGCTTCTGCAGTGGTGGTCGGAGATGGAGCCATAGGTGAAGCTCCCCCTGTAGCCCTCCGTGCTTCCCATGGGGACCCGGCACAGGACTCGGGCTGGAAGGCCAGCATCGTGGGGCCCAGGGCCCAGTCCCTTACCTGGGCTGCGGCCTCCGTCAGTCCGCAGAGAGCCTTGGACGCAATCCCCACACACTCCCCAAAGGCAGGGAGGTCCCCGGTCTTGGCGTTCTGCGAAATCCCTGCCATCGACTCTCCCAGAACCTGCAAAGCAAACCACTGGTGACATCCTGACCAACATTCCTTCAGACCGTGGGGTCAAGGGCCTACGCTTCCAACTTGGAGGCCACTTAATTTACAGTTCTGGCCATTTCCTTCCTGTATCTGGAATAAGAAGAGATTCAAGATGGTGGTATCATTTCTGTGCCATAAAGAGAAATGAATAATGAAAGTATGAAGCTTTCATCCAGAAGTTACCTGTACCTCAAGGAGATAGAGTTAACATACACAGATCAATAAAGTAAAATCTATACAGGGCATCCTATGGGTGAATGGTCTAAATTGAGAACTGTTAGTTCCCAGAATATAAAAATTAGACAAATCCACCGAGCTGTAGGTGAAGTCATGCCCGTCCCAATATTATTCACTTATTCATTGGCAGTAAAATTTAAACATGTCATTGTTAAGAAGTGTGTGTGTGTGTAGAGAGAGAGAGAGAGAGTCTGAACACAAGTGCTAAAATTTTAAAGTATTTCCCCTTATTTTGAAAATCATTGGTGTATTCTTTTTATAGGTCTTTAAAATAGCAGCTAAAAGTATCCAACTCAGAGAGGTCAAGTACCCTGCACAAGGTCAGACAGAAGGTCACGTGGGCAGAGGCGAGGCGCCTGCCCCATATCTGGCGCTGTGTCTTCTCTGGGCCTCCTCTTGCCCCAGGCAGGCAGGTACTGCATTCCAGGGTCCTAGATCTTAGAACTGAAGGATGTTCAACAGAACTCTTTAGAGAGATGATCACATCCAAGTTTAGAACCCAACACAGAGCTCTTTGTCAACACAGAGCTCTTCTGTCAATCTCGGATGGGAAAAGAAATTCTCTAAAATTGCTTAAACATACAAAATAATTCCGTTTACATAAGGACCTGCAAAGCAAAGAAGTTAGAGGGTATTTTTACGTACAGTATTTTCCTTACCCTCACCCTGCATCCTTCTTTAAGAAGAACAGTTTCTTTGGATCTAAGTGTGTAAAGCATATACATCCTCCCTTTAGACCATCCATAGTTCCATAAAGGATGCTGGACAGGGCAAACTCTAGCCTTAGCCCAGCTCGAGGCGAGCCCTCCTGACATCACCAGTTCAGATGTCTCCCCAAAGCTAATGTAAGCGTGATGTAAACAGACATCGTGCTCCAAGTACAAAGCCAAGCTGTAATTCCCCAATATCCATTCATCTCACTTGCATTTCATTTCAACCTGAACTGGAGGCATTCTCAAAAACGCTGGCGTTATTACCATAGGTCTGTTTCTCAACCTTTTAAAATATTATTATTGCTGCTCTGCTAAGAAGGTTTCTTGGACACCTCCCTGTCCAGTCGCGACCCACATCAAATAAAATTCTAAGAAGTAAGATTTTGTTGAGTGAGGTTAAGATTTGGAGAAGAGAGGCCATAAACCATTGTATTAGCTTAGATATTTTCACTGCCACCCCCCACCCCCCCCAAAAAAACCCATAATTTTTCACACCTCTTGTGAATGTGTGCCATGGATGGGTGGCAACAGGAACACACAAGGGGGTCTCACACAAGTCAAGTTCACTGAAGGGCTTTCCCCGGCAGTGCAGCCCCAGGGGAAGGAAATACATGATCTGGTTCACATAGGGTATAAGCAGTGGTTCTCAAAGGGTGGCTCCTGGACCACGTGGGTAGGACTCGGGAACTTGTCAGAAATGCACAATCTCGGCCCCACCTCAGATCCGCTGAATCAGAAACTCAGGGGTGTGGCCCAGCAATCTGTTCACCGAGACCCCAGGTGATTCCAGTGCACAGTCAGGTTTGAGATGCACCTGAGAACAAGGCTTTGTGCCACAGGCAGACTCAAACGAGGCATAGCTAGATTCTTGCCACAATGAGAAGGCAGGCTACCAGCACAGACAGGCTTACCTTGGAATTTTCCATCACACTCTCAATGCAGTCAAAGTAAGAGAGGTCACTAACGGGTTCATTAGGGTTGTCCAACATCCCCTTGACAGTCTACAGAAGGAGAACACAATTTTAAAAGTAAGCAAGTGTTCTAGAACAAAGGAAATGCAACATAAAATATCTACTATCAACTTCCTCTCCATACTCAGGAATCTGGTCATAATCACTTATTACGCAGACTCCTGAGAGGAATTTAGATCACGGTGTTCATGACTTCAGATTTCCTGTGAGCAACACCACACTGATCGGGGTGGGGGTGTCTGGGGTTAGCTCTGACAGAGGAGAATCTCCTGTTTTCACATTCGAAGGCAAAGCATGGTATTCACAGAAGGGGGAGATTTTCTTCTTAAAGGAATCTGAAAGTTAATGGAAGGCAACCTATATTGATGGTCAATGAGCACAGTTTCTCTCCGCTGGATGACTCCAAGGAGTTTTAATTTCAAGGGCACATTAATTCACTTCTTCTTGTAGGGCTCTCAGTTTTCAATTCTGGAACCTTTTAATGGGTAGATGTGAAAAGAGGTAACTCCCTTAAACTGCCCACTGGGATGGTTCATTTGTTTTTAATTTTAAAAGTATAGAAAATGCTGAATCTTGTGTAGGTCTCCATCAAGGAACTGGGCATGGGGCTTGCTTCTTCTGTCTTGGTCTCCAACCGTCACTAGCATTCATGTTCTAATAACCTTGATCATCACCTAAGAGGGACTTTTCCAGGGAGGAAAAGTCAAGGGATACGGCGACCCATCCTCCTCCCCACTGAGTAAGGATGCACATTGGGACTAGCAGCCTTTGAGGAAACAGCCAACAAAAAGACAAGGTCACTTGAGTTACCAAGGGTGGGAGGGAAGTAATGATAAAACTGCTGAGTTACTCAGTCAAAGATCTCAGGGAGAGGGCAGCTTTATAAAGGAGTTCATTTTATGGAGGAAACTCCTCCCACTCCTTGGATAATCAAAATTGCCTTAGTAACAGCCACTCTGAAATAGTCCTCATTTTGGCAACCAAGGATGCCATTAAGGGACAGTGCTTGCATTGGGGCCAACAGACCTTATTTAGCTCAACACCCACATACCATATCTATTTGCAAATATGAACAGACTAGGATTGGGCAGCAACTTATCAAGGTGGGAAACATTCTCCACTGTTTTCAGAATGCTTCAGTCCCATGGTAACAAGCTTTCTTTTACTTCCAGCCACGCCAGTGGCCTACTGCCATCGGCAGACTGAGCCTCAATTAAATCCTTCAGAAGCTGCAATCAGCCGTCCCCGCACACGCCCTTCCTGGCATGGTGGGTCTTCCTGTCCAGAGAAGTGAAGGTGCTCTGGGTACAAACAGCCCATTTCTACTGAGATAACCACCTGGTTGTTTCAATATGACCTGAATTGGTCAGGAACGCTTTACACACAAGCAGGCACCGTGACTTTATGTTCACCCACGTACATTCTATAAGCACAAAAGAGTTTTCCATTAAAAATAAGCCCTAAGGATGAACATAAATTGATAAGCATCCACACTGATCTGGGCCACTAAGGGCCCCACTGCCATCTTAATTGTACAGTAATACATGTTACTTCTTGGTTTCCTCTAATGCGCCCCCTACAGGTTACAAAGTAAATTGTATGGGAACATCATTTTCACTCAAAAAGCGCCATCTATCCCAGTTTCTCATAACTGCCTCAGAGTAATCACTCTGGAACTTTCTAGGTAGAAATTGCTTATCTTCAGCCTACTCTCAATACCACAGGACTCTTCCTGTTTGAAATAAACAATCCTTTAACAATGTAACTCTCATCTTGGTGGGAAAAGGGAAGCAAGGGGGATATAATCCCACCAAATCTAATTTGTCTTCAATTCTTTCCCACTTAGATTGGCACTTTGGCTCCAGGAGTTTCCCAAGAAAGATAAAAGGCCAGAATGGAGGAGAAGAAACTGACAGCGGCAGAGGACAGACAGACGCATGCTCTTAAGTCCTCAGCAGCCTTTCCAGGGACCCACCTCGAGCTCCCGCAGGGCATTGTCACACTCCTTCTGGCCAGGAGCTTGCTGGGTGCACAGCGTGATGAGCTGATTGATGCTCTCAGTCACAGCTCTGCCACAGAAATGGAAAGAATGTTTTTTGTTTTGTTTTGCAAGGATCAACGGTAATTTCCCCAACTACATTTTGTAGGATCCCTAGAAAAACAATTAATTCACTATAAAGGCTGCGGTCCCAGCAAGAGCTCTTCCACAAGGCTCTAAACAAGCAAAAATAAACCACAGTCAGGGAGGACAGAAGGAGAATTCCCACTTTGCTTCTAAGTAAGTATTCATCTGATTCACCCTTAAAAGCCCTGATGGGTCTCTTAAGAAAGTAGGGCTATCTTTTAATACAGTCACAAGAAAAAACTCACAAAAGTTGCAAATATCAAAGAGCTCATATTAACGCTGTTTTCAGTATCCTTCACTAGCAGCCCATAAGGAATAGGATTATCTGAGCTAGACTATTTTGGACTGCCTTTGTATGGTTTGGACTATTTTGCATACTTTAAAACAGACATACAGTAACCTGTGTAAGCTATGCCTTATGATTTTAAAACCTCTTCTTTCCATTAATTCCTTCTTTCCATTAATTCCATTAATTCTAGTTCCTAGAAGCTATCTCCAGATTATTCTTTAAAAGCACTATTTTCTTTGTTAAAATTAATAGGAATCAGATACTCTTAGACAATTTTATATGTGTTTCTATTCTTTTTAGAACTTAGGAGGAGGCTGAATTCTTTTTCCTACATTGGCAAGGGTTTCACCCCTCCTGGGCAGCCCCTGTTTAGGTTAAGCTGTGGATAATTTGGAAAGGCATCTACTTTGAGTTAATTTCTTTAATAAGGTGTGCAATATGGAACCAGATTCTTTTTTCGGGGGTAGGGTGGGGGAACATATGGATGTCTGATTATTCCAATACTATTGAAAAAGCTATCCTTTCTGCATTGAATAGCTTTTCTAACTTTGATGACAATCGACTGGCCATATCTGTGTGGGTCTACTTCTGGACTCTGTTCCCCTGACTTAGGCATCTAACCCTTCACCAATACCACACTGTTTTGATTATTGTAGATTTACACTGTTTTAAAATTGAATACTCTTTTTTTTTTTTAAATTAAAGTACCATCAGTTACAATGTGTCAATTTCTGGTGTACAGCACAATGTCCCAGTCATGCACATACATACATATATTCGTTTTCATAGTCTTAAAATTCAATACTCTTGCTTTTGAGAAATACCCTTGCTTTTTATAAATGAATACCCTTGTTTTTTATAAATTGAATACCGTTACTTTTTATAAATAAAAAAACAGCGTGAGTGAGATAATTCCCTAAAGGCATGCTACAAGTAAAGAGCCGAAATAAGACTCAAATCTATGCATATCCGACTCCAAAGCCAGATCCACAACCATTTTTCTGCAGGTTCATAACTGGTCCATTCTTTTGGCAGGACTCTGAATTCTATTCATAGTCAGTAACCACTACCGCTAATGGGCAACTTAAAATATAACAAACAAAACCAATATAGGACACACACTGCAGTTAATCATTAACACTGACTAATATAAAAGATGCCTCCTCTCATTAGTTAAATTGGCTTTGCAGCTTCCCACAGAATATCAAATTAGATGCAAAATGATGTTGCCAACGTACAAAGGCAATCAGCTTAATTATTTGATGAGGAGCTACTGATTGGAATTTTAAATCTGGCTAGAGTGACGGGAAGAAGAAAAACATTCCTCAGCTCAATAAAGAATCCCAAAATAGTTTTTGTAAGATTGGCTCTATTGATTCATTTATCTGGGGGAGAAGTGCTTCCCTAAGGAGTCATGGAGAAGCACCGTCCTCCAGGGGCAAAGCGAAACAAGAGCAGAGACGGCAGGACAAGCCCTCGTTGGGGCCCTGCTAGCGTGTGCAGGCTGTGATGCGTTCTGTGACGTAGTCCCTGGAAGGGCCCCAGAGAGTCCAACACCGTGTTGTGTGTGGCAGCCTTCAAGACACACTTCTGCAAGGGCAGGCTCATATGTCCACACACTAAAGGGTGCACAGAGCCCCCGACTGTGGTGACATGGTCATCTGGGGACAATTTCCACCCCTCACACAAGCTTTCCATGTAGCTTCTTTCTTTTAGTGTTTGCTGTTTGTCTACATTGTCAAAACCTAGCTTATATATGAAGATTGTTCCATAAAAATCTAAGTGTTTACAATTGGCGAATCCAGAGAACATATAGCAATTCATTCTTATTCATTTAGTTATTTTTTTTAGAAGTGAAAATTTTTCAAACAAAAACTTAGGGTTAAAAAAAAATTCCAACAGACTAAGAGTTTGCGGTTGGAAAAAATTCACATAAGTGCCAGTAAAGCACCGCATATCTGAGTGAATCACTTGGCCAATACTGATCCATGACTAAAAAGCATGATTTAGGTATCATTTATCCCCATAACTGATTTTAGGGCCTCCATTACATATCTAAATAATAAACTTAGTGGCACAGAGGCAAATGGTTATATAGATTTGACAATGAAAATCAGTATTTTTAGGTTTTAAACTAAAACTAGGTTTAAAAAACTTTTTTAATATAATTAAAGAACATTTATTTGTTTTTCACTAAGACTTTATCTTGAGAACATAACTAAACTGTGTCACCACCCCCACTACAATTTGAAAAGGGTTATTAGCAGAGTGAATGTTATAAATCGGATATGAACAGTTTGAAGGATTGGCACCAACATTAACCGACAAAAACCAACTTCCATCTAAATCATCATAAAAATGTTTAAGTAAAAATAAAGGAGCGGGGAGGGCAATGGGGGTTTCAGATTATATTTATTTATAAGAGCAAAGGATAAGATGCAACCCAAATACGCAATGGTAAAGGACTGACTAAATAAACATACAGACTATGACAGAATTCTGGGCTTCCATGAAAAGTCCTAACATCACAGAAGAATATTCATGATGCACAATTAAGTAAAATAAAATTTACAAAGCAGTATAAACCACAGGAGTGCACATCTGTAAAAATAAATATATATGCATAGAAAAATGAAAGAACGGCCTATCCAAATGTTAACAGTGACCTTACAATATTATTTTTAAAGCAAAGATTTCAGTAAATCTACTAAAATATTATCAATTAACCAACTTACATTGTCATAAAAATACGGCCAAAACTAGCTGCACCTTCCCTCTGTTCTATATAAATTCAGACAGGCTGGAACTGAGATACCTTTATTTTCCCCACACCTTTTTTGGGTAATGACCAAAGCTAAACAAGTTTACTTAAAAAAATGCAAAACATTAAAAAACCATAATTCCACCACCTAGACACAGGGTTTTCCTGTGATTCATTCTTCACCTAAGCATATTCAGCCACTCTCAGTGTTTACAAAATTGGGGTCTACAACCTCAGGTGTTAAAGGCTTTCTAAGCTACAGATTGTTTAGTGTTCAGAGATACTAAACTGATTCAGACAGGAGTTTGTGAGCTCTGGCACGACATTCTCAACAGATATGGAATTGAGGTCGAGAGAAGAAAATCAACCAATCTGTGCTTCTGATGATCTATAAAGCACAAATCATCCAGCAGGGAACTTGGAGGGGAGCAACTCCAGACAATTCCCTTCCTCAAGGGAAAGAGGCGCTTAGGAAGGCAGGAAAGAGCAAACCCAAATTCACGTGTCCACATTCCCTGGGTCCTACTGCGGACAAGGCACAGGGGGTACAAAATGATACAGTATGACATCGTTCACGTCTCTATAGGAAAGCAAGGGGCTTGCAATCCAGCTGGAGAGGCAGGACGATGAACTGACAAGACATAGAGGTCAGCCAGAGGAAGCAGTGCCGGGGGTAGGACAGCAGGCAGGATGGGCCAGACGCAGGCAGGACGCGCCGGGAGCACCCGAGGAGATTCAAGCCTCGACAGTGGCATAGGCTCTGCCTTCGAGGGAGCGCCTGACATGGACCAGACTCATTGGAAAATCGGGCCTCAGTGAGATCCCGATCTGGATCGTGGGTAGAGAACATTCTAGAAGAGACCAAGAGACAGAAGAAGGCCCGGTGTACATTTTCTGTTTCAGAGTGTGGAAGTGCTGCTTGCTGGGTCACCCTTTTCCACCATCTCTGGAGACAGCAGGACGCCTGCCTGGTGGGAACCTCAAAGCAAAGGGCTGCCTGGGAAGAGGCGCCTCCTGCAAGGTCCCAGGGAGCCCTCGGGGGACTGGAAGCAGCAGAACACCGTCCTGACGCTGGCAGGTGGGGTGAAGCCTTCAGCCCGAGTCCTTCTGGCCAGGACTGGGGTGTGAGCAGTGGCTCAGGGGTAGGACTCGCCCTCCTTCTGCCACTGCAAACTGGTTCTCCACTTCCTTGACTAAGTCCAGGAGCATCGGGCCAGTCCTTGGTCAGGGAAAAGGCTGATGAACCACTGACAAAGGGTCTCCAGCTTACCCAACTCGTCAGAAAAGAGCCGGAGCCCACCAGGTACACAGAAAGAAGCCGGACTCTCAACAGAAAATGACTTCCTCCCCACTAGGCATCAGAAACTGAGGGACCACATTCCTCAGAGGCACCTGGGCTCAGATGCACAAAGATGAGTAGAGCAAAAAGACAGACATACTCTACTGCTTCTCCAGAAGCAAACCTGTTTCCCCAAAGCAGGAAGAATCACTGAAAAGGAAAAAAGAAAGGTTTACTCTGCTGACGTAGGAGTGGGAGGGCCAAGTCAGTCCAGGTCTGGGTCCCCACAGTAGCATCTCTGGGGCCTTCGGGGACATTCACATGAAGAACAGGGAGGGCAGTGGGGCTGAAGATGAGGCCAACAGCAATCGGATCCCTGCTGCCCACCTCCAAGGGCACTTATGCACAGGTTTGTTGCAAGACCCAGATAAACCAAAGGCCACCTGCTCTTGTGTGTGCCTCGCCCTAACTCCACCAGGGCTGTCCCTGCCTTACAGTGTGTGCCCAGCACCCAGTGCTAGGCCTGGCCCATATCAGGAACGTGGTAACTTGTCTGTGTAATGAACAAACGAAGTAACAAGAGAATGAATGAACGTACTCTAGCTGGGCAGAGCCTTATTTCCCAAGAGGAGCTTGCCTGACTCACTTGACCTGGCTGGAGCTTCCACTGGGAAACCATCCCAGGGAGCAGAGCCTGCCGACATGTGCCAAGAAGCCAAGGAGAACGGTCCAGCATCTTCCTGCAGCTGTTCCGGCCCCAAACTATCAATTCACGTGATGATTTTTAAGGGCTTACTTGGTGATGAAAACCATCAGGCTGGGAACTCTCCCTGTCAACTGCTGAGAGCCAGGGTAGACAGAGCAAAGAAAGTCTTTTCACCTGGTCTCCAGCTCCCTTCCTCAATCTCACCACCAGGAGGCCTCCGGACACCCACAGAGGCATGACACAGCAACAAGCACTGAGGCCCTGGGTTCCCTTCTTCACCGGGTTTTCAAAAGGCCAGTTCATGCTCTCCCTTCTTTCCCATAATTTAACAGAGTCAACAACACTTTCTAGGTTGGAAACTGTAATATTTTTGTTGTTGTTGTTTGTTTGTTTGTTTGTCTGTCTTTGTTTTTCTTTTTGAGGGGGAGGTAATTAGGTTTATTTATTTTTAGAGGAGGTACTGGGGATTGAACCCAGGACCTTGTGTATGCTAAGCATGTGCTCTGCCACTTGAGCTACACCCTCCCCCTGTAATTTTGAAATGATGTAAAAAAATTGAAGATAATGAAAAACATCTGTGTTCAGATACCTGGCAACATCAGTTGCCTTATCCAAAGGTTCTTTTTAGGAAAAATGTGATTAAGAGGGTTTTATATCAGAAACAGCTGCTCCTGGGACATTGTGCTGTACACCAGAAATTGACA